TATTTCCACCCCCCCACATTCAAGACAAGACCCCTTTCTGATTTCAGATTTCTTTTCTTTCTTTCTTTCCTTTTATTATTATATTTTTCAAAGCCATTTTTAAAATCTCCCATATTTTTGCAAGTTTCTGTTCCACATGGGCTTTAACCTCCTTGACACTGTTCTTAAGACTTTGTGCCATTCTTAAAACAGTACTTAGTATGTATGTTTTCTGTTATCTTTGGCTCATGTCCTTCAAATGTCAGCACTTAACAGACATTTTTGTCTTCTTTGAAGATTTATGTTTTGAAAGCCTTTCAACCCTATGGAGTTGTACTTTTTTATAAATTATTTTTAGGGCACCTGGGTGGCTCAGTTGGTTAGGTGTCCAGCTCTTGATTTCGGCTCAGGTCATGGACTCAGGATCATGAGATGGAGCCTGCTTAAGATTCTTTCTCTCCCTCTCTCCCTTTCCCCCCAACCCATGCTTGCTCTCTCTCAAAAAATTATGATTTATTTTTAGAACTATTTACTGATCATTCACAAGCGGACATTGTCCTTTCATGTTGTTACCTTTCACAATATTAAGTGCTTCAGAATATTAGCAAATGTTACTGGTGCTTTTATTTGGTATGCAAAATTATGGCTGTAGTTTCTTTTTCCTTTGAGCTTTTCTGTATTTTAAGTTAGCTGCTTACTGTTCCCAATACCAAATTGTATTCCCTAGCTACATATGGAAAGTTTGGCTTCCTTTGTTTGTTTTCATTTCCTGGCCTATATAACTTCAAGCTGTTGATTTCCAATTTTCTTAAAGTTTCAGGTTATAAAAAACCAGACAGTTAGAGAAGCTTCTTTGTCTTTTGTTTTTTCACTATCTGAAAGAGGGTTTGTTTTTATTTTTCCCTTTAGTTGAATTAGGAATATCCAGATACTTTATGTGTTGTGTGTGGGATTAAATCTTAGTATCAATATAGATTACCTCTTTCACAAATCAGATTTTCGTATGTTCATGGACTTAACTTTTATTTTTTCCAGTGTGAACTTAAGGTCAGTCTGGGGTTGGAAGGAAAAGAACTAGAGGATGGAAGTTTTTGTTTGGAGTCTTATTTTAGATTGCTTACTACCACTGTTTATCACTGGAGTGGTTAATTGAGAGTAATAGAAAAGCCAGGTAGTGATTTGTTCTTTTGCTGATTAAAAAGCAAAATTGAGCATATTACATAGTTATTTAGATAGGGAGAGAAGCCCAAATTTCTACAAAAGTTTTTCTTGATTAAACTCGAAAGGTAATAGTAATAATAATGGATTAGTGTTTTTGTAATACAGGTCTAATAACACGAAGAATGGCATTCTTTTTGGAGGGATAACATTTTGCGTAATTAGGGCTAAATGTCGTACTCATTAAAATGATTGGCAGATATTCATTCATCTAGTGTTACTGACTTGAAGTGAGATTTTCCATATTTCGTTTTTTATAATGTCTTCACACATATAGGTACAAGAAAACCTTGGAGATACTGCAGGTTCAGTTCCAGACTAACATAATCAAGCAAATATTACAACACAACAAGTCAAATGAATTTTTTGGTTTCCGAGAGCATGTAAAAGCTACGTTTACACTGTACTGTAGTCTGTTAAGTGTGCAGTAGCATTATGCCTAAAAAACAATGCATAGCTTAATTTAAAAATGCTTTATTGCTAAAAAGTGCTAACCATCCCCTGAGCTTTCAGTGAGCGGTAATCTTTGCTGGTAGAGTTCCTTGCCTCGACATTGGCTGCATCTTCTATATCAGCACTTGCCCTTTCACCTTGCACTTCTTTGTTATGGAGATGACGTCTTTCTTTAAACCTCATGAACCAACCTTCAGACTTTTCTTGTGCAGCCTCCTTGTCTCTCAGCCTTCGTAGAGTTGAGGAGAGTTAGGGTCTTGCTCTGGATTAGACTTTGGCTTAAGGGAATGTTGGAGCTGGCTCGATCTTTTGTCCGGATGACTAAAACTTCTCCGTATCAGCAAAAAGGCTGTTGAACTTTATTACCATTCATCTATTCACTGGAGTGAATTTTAATTTTCATTTCCTTCAAGAACTTTTCCTTTGCATCCACAATTTGCCTGTTTGGCACAAGAGGCCTAGCTTATGGCTTATCATGGCTTTTAACATGGCTTCCTCACTAAGCTTGATCATTTCTAGGTTTTGTTTTAAAGTGAGAGCTGTGTGACTTTTCATTTGTACACTTAAAGGCCATTGTAGGCTTATTAATTGGCCTAATTTCAATATTGTGTCTCAGGGAATAGGGAAGAGTCAGGGGAACAGGTGGTTGATGGTGTAGTCAAAACACACACATTTATCTGTTAACTTTGCTGTCCTGTATTGGTATGGTGCATTGCACCCCAAAACAATTCCAGCATTAAAGATTGCTGATCACAGATCACCATAACAAATATAATAATGTTGAAAAGTTGGAAATACTTCAAGAATTAACCAAAATGGGAGGCAGAGATAGGAAGTGAGCTAATGCTGCTAAAGAAATAGCACCAACAGGGACGCCTGGGTGGCTCAGTGGATTAAGCCTCTGCCTTCAGCTCAGGTCATGATCTCAGGGTCCTGGGATCAAGTCCTGCATCGGGCGGGCTCTCTGCTTGGCAGGGAGCCTGCTTCCTCCTCTCTGTCTCTCTGCCTGCCTCTCTTCCTGCTTGTGATCTCTGTCTGTCAAATAAAAAAATAAAATAAAATCTTAAAAAAAAAAAAAAAGAAATAGCACCAACAGACTTGCTCCACGCCAGGTTGTCACAAACCTTTCAATTTATTAAAAAACACAGTATCTGTGAAGTGCAACAAAACACAGTATGCCTATATTGCTCTCTAATCAATCCACAAGCATAAATTAATGAAGCATATTTATCCCTTAGAGAAGGCATTTATAGAATTCATTTGATACTTACCTTTTAGCATATCATTACACAGCAGAGTTGTCTGTCACTTTCAGTTGAAGGTTAGGTGGAAGCTCTTCAGATAGACGGTTAAATGGATTTTTTTTTAAAGATTTTATTTATTTATTTGACAGACAGGGATCACAAGTAGGCAGAGAGGCAGATGGAGAGAGAGGAGGAAGCAGGCTCCCTGCTGAACAGAGAGCCCGATGTGGGATTCGATCCCAGGACCCTGAGATCATGACCTGAGCTGAAGGCAGAGGCTTAACCCACTGAGCCACCCAGGCGCCCCCGGTTAAATGGATTTTGAAAGGAAGTGTTCTTTGTACTTGCAATGAGGTCCAAAAAAGTCCTCTGGAACTGTAATTCGTGCTTAGAAAATAAATCTGCTACAAATTTGTATGGGAACAGAGCTCTCATTTCTTTGATAGCATAAGAAGTGCATGAAGCATCTTGTTTGACATTATGATTCCAGTGTCAGTTGTTGCTGAAATGATTTTAGTCAGTTTTGCATGTCAGCACTGTTAACAAGTAGTGGGGCAAGTTAGGATATTCAGCTTCTTTTTCTGACAAAAAATTCAGAGAGCTGGTGATGGTAAAGTTCACACTAATGAAGTTCACCATTAACACTGCTGGTTCAGCAATATAATAGATTCAAATAGTTTCTACAGGCTACCTGCTGATGCATAATATAAGGAATACCCATAGACTCGAAGCATTTTACATTTTCACAGGCTTCAGAAATTTGTCCAACTTGTCTTTTCTGCTCTACACATACATGTACCACCATTTCAGTTGTAATACATCTTAGCAGATTCCACTTCAAACTGTGCTTAGTGTTTTCTCAACTTTGTTAAAATATTACCTGTAGTTGCTCCAAGCAGACTATTTGTAGAGGCTACCTCTGTAGTTACTTAAAACTAGTTGAGTAATAAACACTTGACTCCTTGAATAAACAACTGAAAAGTATCAGTTACATTTGTCGACTCATCAAGGCTCAAGAAAAACCACTCAATCATTTGCTGTCTCATTTTTCAATTGATTATGACATCTGAGTATCCTTGAATTTTTGAGCAACTCTACTCCCCAAAAAGCTAATAATCTTAAACATCTTTGGACACATTTCTCTAGCTTCTGAAATCAAGCACAGTTTAATTAATTCACCATCAATAATACAGCTTTTTTTGCTTAGCTAACAAATAAGCCACTTGAAGGCTTACTGTGGTTGAAGCCTTGTTTTTTATTCTTGTGAGAAAATATTTGGTGATGAGATTTTTAGTTTTGAATTTTCCAGTTTTTCAGACTACAGCTTTAGCTGTGAGTTGGGAACATGGTGATGAATGCTTGGTCTGATAGTATGAACGTGTATTTTCTTTTAGCACAGTTAAGTAGTGCCATTGCATAATGAATTCAGTCTGTTCATCTCACAACAAAATAACCCATACCCTCCTATGAGGGTGACATTTGAAGTGCACTTTTACTTCATTTGAAATGAGAACGCATTGGTGATTTCTTAAAATGTCACAGTATGGTGATATGCATGGCACTTGAAATGCTGTCAGGTTGCATCACTGCAGCTTAGAAGGCACAGATCATCACCAGTGCAAAGCAGCGGGAGGGCCACATTCAGTCTCTCACATCTACTTGGCTCTGCCATTGAGGCAGAACAGCAGTCACAGACAATATGTAAGTGAAGCTGTATGACTGTATTGTAATAAAACTTGGTGAACACCGAAATTTGAATTTCATGTACTTTTTAGACATCACAAAACATCATCTCCCTTTTGTTAAAAAAAAGAAAACACAAAAAGCAATCTTTAAAAGTGTAAAAAAATCACTCTTAGATCTCAAGGAAAATATAGGCACCGGGGCTGATTTTTGGCCCATGGTCCATAGCTTGCTAATTCCTGACCTCCTTTTTTCCTAACATAACAGGGCTTTTTCAGGAGTTTTTCTTCTATGAAATTTTATTCATATGAGGTCTTAAAATTCACATCTTGACCTGCATTCTGGATTTTCACATAATTAAAAGTGTTCTACAGAACACATGCTAACTTTTGTTTTCAAGATTCATCTCCTTTCTCCTTTTAGATTATTTTCCACTTGTTCTTCAAGATGGAAAGCTCAGATTCTAACGATAAAGGAAGTGGTGATCAGTCTGCAGCACAGCGCAGAAGTCAGATGGACCGATTGGATCGGGAAGAAGCTTTCTATCAATTTGTAAATAACCTGAGTGAAGAAGATTATAGACTTATGAGGGATAACAATTTGCTAGGCACCCCAGGTATGCGATGTGTAAAGGTTTATATATGTAAATTGCTGGTCTTTTTTTTTTTTAACTTGTTTTAAAAATCTGTCTCTTCAGCCGTTATGAAGTGTCATTTTAATACAGGGGATGCAGAATGACATTTATTGCTGTACTTACTGCCTCATTCTGTTCACTCCTATTTGGAATTATCCTATACGACATCTTTTAGTTATGATTTACATTATGAATTTATAGTGAGCTGACTGAAAAAGTGGAACTGAACAATATTTTTGTTTTAACTAGCTTCATTTAATTTACTAGAGATAAATTTAAATGTGGAAGAGCTAATGAGAATGTAGATTCCTAGGACAAGCTTTTTTTTGGGTCGGGGGGTCATCTCTGATTCCCAGATTATGTTCCAGTTGTAGTCCTCCAAAGCTGTCCTTGGGTAAATTTGTCAATTCAGAACTTTGTGTTTGGTTATTCTCTTTTGCCCAGTTAGGTCTCATTTGAACCTAATTAAAATTCATCATCTCTGGTGCTCCTCATTTCTGTTTAATTCTAACCTTTGCGTTATTATTTAAATTTTGAAAGGTAAGGTGTTAGCATGACTTTTAGAAGAGGGAGTGCGTTTTTAGCCAACAATACCAGACTTGAATCAGAATGCCTGAGTCGGTATTCTGGCCCTGCCATTTATTAATACAGCAGTCTCTCACTTAGTCTCCGTTTCCTTGTTTTAAAATGCAGATGATATCTACCTCCCAGAGTTTCAGTTTGAAAGAATGAGAAATCGCATGCAAAAGCATTAAGTGAACTAGAAAGAAACTTGCATAAATTGCTATGTCATGCCCCCAAAGAAGTAAATTTTACCCACGTTCCTACTCTTTTTGGTTTTCATCTCCGTTTTTATTTGTAATTTGGCACACATTTCTAAACTATTTTCAGGTGAAAGTACTGAGGAAGAGTTGCTGAGAAGACTACAACAAATTAAAGAGGGCCCACCACCACAAAACTCAGATGAAAACAGAGGTATATTTTGCCTTGGGGGGTGGGTAGAGGATGGAACAGATAAGGAACTCCAGGAAAGGTCAGCTGAAGATTATCCAGAAACAGCACGGATTAATTTAGTACTAAGGAACTGTTAACAAAAAGGGAACTGGCATTTTCTTGGTATTTGGTGAGAATGTCAACATGTTTTTTTTTCTGCTTCACCTTTGGGTTTGTATTTAATTGAGACATAGTGAGAAATGGCCTATTTAAATGTGCTGGTTATTTTCTTGATTTTGCACCTCTGCTGAAATTTCCTCCCACCTACCAAATTACTTCTTCCTTACAAACATGTGCATTCTCCACCAGCGGAAAGAAATGTTGTATTCTCCAACCTGGTGGCTCTCAATGGGTTATATGCCCACCCCACCCCCGCCCAGGAGACGCTGGCAATGTCTGGAGACATTTTTGGCTATTGTCACAGCTCAGGGTTTGCTACGAGCATCTAGTGGGTGGAGGTCAGGGATCCTGCCAAACATCCTAACATCCTAAAATTCACAGCAGCACAGCCCCCACAACAGAGAATTATCTGGCTCAAAATGGAAATAGCGCCACTGTTGAGAAACCCTGCTATTAATTTTAAGTAGGATTGTAGGGAATTTGTCTGACATAGAGGCTATAATAACAGTTTGGTTCTGGAGCATGCCATTATATGCACCATGCTAGGTTCAGACTATTCATTTTTTATCTGGTCTCCAATTTCATGTTAATTTAAAATCTTGGTAATACGAAGATTTCCTGCAATACTTTGGAACCAGTAGACCCTGTTTATATTTTTGCAGTGGCTGCAGTAGTCAGTCTTGTATTTTAAAAGTCCTGTATTATCAAAGGCACTTAAGTCAAGATCCTAGAGGAAATGTTGTAGACTAACAAAAATGCGAAAAAATGTGACTTGAACAAAAATGCTAGCCCTGTACCCTAAGTAATGTTTACCTTGTTTGGTTAATGTTTTGACAGTGGACTGAAAAATGTCTTCTGACAGTCCACGGTGGTCTCCTAGGCTCTGTATATGATAAAGTTCTGAAAATAGACTTCCTCCAGAATACCTTTTAAAAAAACTTTCTCTGAATTTCTCTAGGATTAGCTTGCTTTTTCAAAATGGAATTGAAACCTTCCTGCCTTTACTTGCAAATATGTGTAGTGTAGTTCACAAAAGTCTTTAAATGTGAGGTCTGTTCAGAATCTTTGCTGTTTTTTAACACAGTTTCAGAGCACTGTTACATGATTGTCCTAATTTTAGTAGTTCCTTTTTCTCCCTCTCCCCTCCCTGTTTTAAAAACAGGTGGAGACTCTTCAGATGATGTGTCCAATGGTGACTCTATAATAGACTGGCTTAACTCCGTCAGACAAACTGGAAATACAACAAGAAGTGGTCAAAGAGGAAACCAATCTTGGAGAGCAGTGAGCCGGACTAATCCAAACAGTGGTGATTTCAGATTCAGTTTAGAGATCAACGTTAACCGTAATAATGGGAGCCAAAATCCAGAGAATGAAAATGAGCCATCTGCAAGACGTTCTGGTGGAGAAAATACAGACAACAGCAGCCAAAGGCAAGTGGAAAATCCACGATCTGAATCAACATCTGCAAGGCCATCTAGATCAGAACGAAATTCAACTGAGGCATTAACAGGAGAAGTCGCACCTACCAGAGGTCAGAGAAGGGCAAGAAGCAGGAGCCCAGACCATCGGAGAACCCGAGCGAGAGCTGAAAGAAGTAGGTCACCTCTGCATCCAATGAGTGAAATTCCACGGAGATCTCATCATAGTATCTCATCTCAGACTTTTGAGCATCCTTTGGTAAATGAGACTGAGGGAAGTTCTAGAACCCGACACCATGTGACATTGAGACAGCAAATAAGTGGACCTGATTTGCTAAGTAGAGGTCTTTTTGCAGCTTCTGGAACAAGAAATGCCTCACAAGGAGCAGGTTCTTCAGACACAACCAGCAGTGGTGAATCTGCAGGATCAGGACAGAGACCTCCAACCATAGTCCTTGATCTGCAAGTAAGAAGAGTTCGTCCTGGAGAATACCGGCAGAGAGATAGCATAGCTAGCAGAACTCGGTCAAGGTCTCAGACGCCAAACAATACTGTCACTTATGAAAGTGAACGAGGAGGTTTTAGGCGTACATTTTCACGTTCCGAACGGGCAGGTGTGAGAACCTATGTCAGTACCATCAGAATTCCAATTCGTAGAATCTTAAATACTGGTTTAAGTGAGACTACATCTGTTGCAATTCAGACCATGTTAAGGCAGATAATGACAGGTTTTGGTGAGTTAAGCTACTTTATGTACAGCGATAGTGATTCCGAGCCCAGTGGCTCAGTCTCAAGTCGAAATGTGGAAAGGGCAGAGTCACGGAATGGAAGAGGGGGTTCTGGTGGTAGTAGCAGTTCTGGTTCCAGTTCCAGTTCCAGTTCCAGTTCAAGTTCCAGTTCCAGTTCTAGTTCCAGTTCCAGTCCTAGTTCCAGTTCCAGTGGTGAAAGTTCAGAGACTAGCTCAGAGGTGTTTGAAGGCAGTAATGAAGGAAGCTCATCATCAGGCTCATCAGGTGCCAGACGAGAGGGTCGACACAGGGCCCCGGTAACATTTGATGAAAGTGGCTCTTTGCCCTTCCTTAGTCTGGCTCAGTTTTTCCTCTTAAATGAGGATGATGATGACCAACCTAGAGGACTCACCAAAGAACAGATTGACAACTTGGCAATGAGAAGTTTTGGTGAAAACGATGCATTAAAAACCTGTAGTGTTTGCATTACAGAATACACAGAAGGCAACAAACTTCGTAAACTACCTTGTTCCCATGAGTACCATGTCCACTGCATCGATCGCTGGTTGTCTGAGAATTCTACCTGTCCTATTTGTCGCAGAGCAGTGTTAGCTTCTGGTAACAGAGAAAGCGTTGTGTAATTAAGTTCTGAACTCTCAGCTATGTAGCTGGTATAGTGATGGGCAAACAGGAATCACTTGCTTTCTGCCCACTTTTTGAGTGGTGCTTAAATGTAAAGTAGCAACCTGAATTGAGTCATTGCTTTCTGAGTGAATCATTGTCCTTTTTCCAGTTTCTGTTCCAGAATAAAAGGAAATATTTAAAAAGCAATGTTCTAGGACATAAAAATCTGATTTCAGTACCAGTAATTGATATTACTGATGATTTGTCATATATGCTTATCAGTTTCTCCTTTGTTATCTTTAAAGATCTGCCTTAGCAATGGCTCTTTATCCATTTCACGTTGATCTTTAACATTTCCCACACCATAGGAGAGGGGCAAAGGAAACTGCCAGTTTAGACTAAGTTACAGTACATGTTTCATAAGTGATTGCTTAAAGCTATATCATTCCCAGTTATTAGTTGGCACAAATTCAGCTAAATGCTGAATATCATTTGTTCACCTTTCAGATGAGGTGATATTGGACGTCAGTGTAAATAACACTAAGGTTAGGATCTTCTAAGTGTATAACTGTCTCCTAAGCCCATCACTGTGGCACACTGTAGAGTGAGCTTATAGTTTAATTGAGATATTTATCTTGTGGAAATATTAAAAAGCCTATGCTTGTGTAAGTGAAAAATCACATTCATTTGTTTAAAAATGTAAAGCTATTTTGTAGAGGCTCAGTACTTTTCCAATGCACTGTTGTATTAATGCATTAAAAATTGTAAAGTACCATGCTTAGAAATGAAAAAAACTGCTTTTTGTGAGCCAAGATAGTAAACACACACACACACACACACACACACACACACACACCCCAAACAAAGTACAAAGCTGCTTTTCTAAATGTGTAGATGTCAAGAGCAGAACATATCTAGTATTTAATGTATGTGAACAGCTACTGTGACATGCAAAGGAAAGGACAGTGTGCAGAATTGAGCTGCATTACCAATAGAAACTTGGTATTTTAACTTGGATTTAGGCAGGAAATGAAAGATGGGAGGAGTAAAGAAAACTGCTCTGAAGAATTTAAAATTTTTATGAAGACAGTAATCATACAGACGGGAACTGGTTTCATATGGTGAGGTCCTCGACACAGTATTCTGCTTGAGCTGATGAAGTAGATTAACAAATTTGGTAGTTTTGGTTAAAAACAAGAAACAAACCACTACCACCTAGCACAAGTTACATTGATGTTTTCACAAGTCTGCTCCTCAGAAAAGGAAAAAGGGAAGGTGGAGGAAAGAGACTATAAACCACTTTTAGCATAAGAATTGAAGTTGGTACAGATGTGTGTACTAATAGGAAAGTGTCAAATTTGCGTTCTTTTCGAGATTTGTCATTTAAGGTACCAGTGCACACTTGTTAATACTTCATTACTCTTAACACAGACCTAACATCTTACATTTAAAGGCCAATTGAAGAATTAAGGGATGTTCATCCTTTGTTGAAAATGAATCATGTTGGGTCATTTGAGATTCACATTTTAATTGTGCTGCCCATGTTTGAAGATGAGGCTGCTGACTCACAATCTATGGGACATGCGTTTTGTGTTGTTTCCTTAGTTAATGAGATTAGGTTTGTGAAGAACCCCAGTGTACTCATGCTGAATTTCTCTTTTGAGGCCAGTTGGGGTTAGGATTTAGTCTGAATGTGGAGGACTTATTTATCTGGGAGAAGATAGTGGGCCCAAAGAGGAATTGCACACATCCTTGGTCTTTAAAGTGAAAACTAACCATGTAGAGTCAGATACTGTACAAAATAAACAGGTCTGCTTCAGGAATTATCTGGCTACCTTAACTGTTATCAGCTTAGCTGTAAAGGTTATTTCAAAGCTCATTCTTTCATGTTTTCCTCTGGCTTTCACTCCTACCTAAGTATCAAGGAGATTAACTTGTAAATATGGTAGTTGTTTACTAAGGATATGTACTGCTCTTGCAAGGAAATAATGTCCAAACAAAGCTTCACTTATTTTTTTTAATATAAGCAGATTTCACTGTTTATGGCGCTTATGTAATACATTTTATCTTTTTAAAAAAATTGTCCATGTAAAAGTCAGGATTCCTTTATATTTGTGAGCCTCCTTGTCTCCTTTCCTAAGGGTGTAATCTACGATTTTTCAGATCTGCAGGGTAGTCCTGATAGGCTAAAAACCCATTTTCCTCTTGGTATAAAACATCCCATTATAAGGGTGTTCATTTTAAATAGTTGAAAAACAGCTGCAGCACATTCTAAGCATAAAAGAAAGTTATTGACAATAGGTACCTCCCTAACCTCCCAAGATGTATTACTCATTTGTGAAGTATTAAAGTAAGAGGTAATTCATGCAGAATGCTGGTTATGAATGTAGATATTGAAGCTATTCATAAACACTGGAAATAGGATTTTAAGTTTTTAGCCTTCAGTAGAATGCACATACTGGACATGTGCATGTGGACACCTTTTTCAATAGCACTCACTGATTCCCATTGGATTGTGTAGAATGGATACAAATATTTTAGTGGAATTTGCTACTTAATTTTTATTTTGTACGAGGTCCATGACTGTATTTATTAGTGTTGTGGACATTGAAGACAAGGTCATTCATAGGTGTCAGGTGTACAGTGGAGAGCAAGTCTTTTTTTTTTCCCCACCAGCATCCAAAACACCTATTCTCTTGAGGCAGCATTTTCTTGCAAAAGACTTTACATTTCATTTTGTATCTTTGCACTTTTTCTTTATTACAGAAAGGTTCTGTCTTGAAGACCTAGTTTGAACTTCATGCAGTTAATAGGAACAAGAAAAAACAATGTTGGGAAATTACATTGTTCAAAGCATAGGGAAAAATACTAAAAACTGAGTTTCCTTGAGTATTTCAGATATTTTTTAAAAATTCACTTACTGGTATGAAGCATTTGAGGTGTTATGTCCGTTTAACTCCAAGCAGCTGACAAGGTTGAGATTTATTAATACTTAAAACAGAATTGAGCAAGTTAGGTTTAAAGTGTGCAGACTTTATAGCAACACTAGAAGATGAGCCATGTTCATTTGGAATATTTGCCCTAAAAAGAACACATTAGTTATACCTCAGTGGTGTTAATGGTTAATGAGGTGGGGATTGAGAGATCACATTAGTGTTGGAAGTGTAGGAAATTATCAGTTGTACAGTTAACAAAGTTTAGTACCGGGATTTTATATGTGTGGTGGTGTGTGTATGTCTACCTGTGCGCACAGGTACGCGTGTGCGCGCGTGCGCGCTCGCACACACACACACATATGATCTCTAAAAACATGATTGTTGAGTTTATCCAGACTTTAAGATTAGGAAACTGCTTAGCTGTAAGTGTTACCTCAAGTAATTTTTACCCCCCTTGGGAAAGAAAACATGTCCTTTCTGTGCCAAGTGTTCTTCTCATGTCAGTGTCTCAGATTGTATTTATGAAGGGTTTTCACTTAATATGTTTCTTTTTAATTTAACCACCTGCTTCCCAAATGTCCATGACTTGAAATGGGTCAAGCGTCAGTCATGACATTCAGTCGGTTCCCAAAATACCCATGTGATAGGGAAGTGAATGTTGGAAAATGCCTCTTAAAAGGCCATTTTTACCGCTTGCTAGAATACAGTGGCACCTTGTGGTGGTTGTTAATACTTTTCTTTCAAAAATGGAGGGTATTCCCCTCCAACCCTTTTTATTCTCCTTTGTTCTTTTGTGAACACAGATTATTAGTGATTTGCCTTGGGTTTTTAAAGTTTTACCTTACTGGCTTCCCTATCAGATGTATTGCCAATCTTAAGTACATAGAAGCCACATTTGCAGGGCACTTTTATTCTTTTCTTGTAAGACTGTGCTGATTGCTACTTTCTAAAGTATTCTGTACCTTAGTGATGCAAGAGATTGATAAGGCACATAGGAAGGAGTCGGGCATTTTTTTTTTACCCTTAAGAATAGTAATTCTAAAATATGTTTAATACTCAATAACAGTGTTGTAATTCATGGAGTTAAATAGTAAATTACATGCTTTTGGAAAACATTCGAAAATGTAAATCAACAAAAATAATATGCTTCATTTGGAAAGTTAAAAGTGCAGGGTCTGAGGAACAAGTATTTCATTTATTTTGAAATTGGGTTTTTAGTAAGCAAATAAGAAACAGCTATGAGTTGAGTACTTGCCCTTTAAAAGTTTTAGCATTTTGAATTTGAGTTCTTAACTGGAACATTTCTTTTTTTTTTTTTTTTAAACTGGAACATTTCTAAAATACTATAATATTCCCAGCAGCTGAGTGATCTCATTTGATTTAATAACTCCACTTTGTATTTAAAATATAGCACAGAATAGAGCTGTTATTGAAGTGTTCAAACTTTCAAGGGATAACAGTTTGTATCAGTTTTAGGATTATTTTCATGTCTCTATAGGTGTTTTCATTCTAATTTGAAGGAAACAAACACTCTCAAATACATTTACAGTGAGATAACTAGGTTTTGATTAGGATTTGTTTACTAAAGACCCACAGGCTGCTTTATAGTCACCTGGGTTGAATGATAACCTTAAATACATGAAATGAAAGTGAACCCCACCATACCACTGTGCCTCGTTATTTCAGGGTTCCTCTCAGTTCCTGATCTTGCAGATTTATTCCAATACCAAGGTATGGTTGAACCAGCTGCCCAGCCTTAACTCTATTTAGTGCGCCTCTGCTAACATTCTTTTATCTGATTGATTTGTATGTGTTTTTACTGTCTGATGTTTGGATTTTTACCTCTTGTTAGCTCCATTTGTCCCTGGTGCTGCTTTTAAAGATATAGGGCCATGTGATCAGGTATCAAATTGAGTAGGTACGCAGTTGGCCTGGTTGTGTATCTGTGCCTGTTTTATCTTCTCCCAGGAAGAGCTGCTTTGGTATAGATGTTTACTTGGATTCATATATAAAGAACTGGGCAGCAGTCTTAGAAAGTTTTCTGAAGCCAAAAGAACCTGAAGGGGTTTGGAGGGGGGGTAGTAACAAAAGCTGCCTTTATGTCTTTGAACATGAAGCACATAAATGTATGTTCTGTAAAGACTAAAGTGATTGTTATACCAGGGCTTCCTGACCTCTGGGAGAGACTTTCAAAAAAGCAGAAAGGAGCACAAAGTGAAGTGAATTTGGTCGGCTTGCTTTATCTGGTTTCTCATTTTCTTTCAATTTAAATCTGAACATAACACCCTTCTCCAATATCTACCCAGAAGACTCCTGGTTGGGAAGCCCTGTATTAAATTTTGAGAATGTACCCAGTTTCCTTTTTTTTTTTTTTTTGTACAGTGCTTTATACCTGCTAAACATTAAATTGTTTAATGCAAAACAAGACCTTGAAAGGTCAGTCATATTAAAGCTGGTTTGATTATTAATAGTTATCTTTTAGGAAGAAGCTTTTTCCCTATGTAAGATGTCATACTGCAGATTTAAAATATAGACTATCAATAAAATGCATGAAGTGATCATTTGTGCTTGATCATCTCTCGGGTTTTTCTTTAAAAAGGGAATCTGATCTGATAAAGGTTCTGTTTCCTCCAACCAGTGTCAAATAGACTTGAGTTTTAGAATCAAATGGAATTCTCATGCAACCTTGATTTTTTATTTCCTCACTGTGAGTTTGAGCAGATACTGGTTTATGGTATATAACCCTCATTTTATGTTGTATAGTTTAATGGCTTAATCTTCAAGTGGTAAAGATTAAGGTATATTCCAATACAAGAATCTTAGAAAGACTTATGTAAATGA